AGTTTACGAGGATTCTTATCATTGGAATCGACGGTTCTACCACTCATTAAATGGACACTAAATTAAACAATAGTGGTAGATGATTCTTCAGGGATGTAACATCGGAGAGGGGGGGGGGCATCCACCTGCAAGGAGGAAGTAACCGGAGTCATGGAAGAATGCAGCATCGGCCAAGGAACATGAATGATGTGAGGACTTTGTGAAGGTCTTATAGAGGTTTTAGTATCACTGTCACATGAAGGAGATGAGTTGTGTTCTTTAGTCATAAATTGAGTAGAGTAATCAGAGAGGTTGGAGGACAAAAAGTATATTCATAAGGCAAGTGTCTTTTATAAGGAAAATGAGATTCAAAGAAGACTACATGACGAGATAGAAAGACTCTATTTTTTGAAGTGTCAAGACATATAGAAGAGCGATGAGTGGGAGAATGATCGAGATATATACATGGAGTTGAACAGGGTTGAAGTTTGTGTGTGTTGTAAGGTTGGAGCCATGGATAACATAAGCAACCAAAAACTTTAAGTGAAGTGTTAGTGGGAGCTTGCCCAAAGAGCTTTGGATAGGGTGTGATATTTTGGAGAGTTGGAGTTGGCATGCGATTAATAAGGTAGGTTGCAGTTTGGAAGGCATACCACCAGAACTTGAGAGGCATAGAAGCTTGATGGAGGAGAGTGAGACCCGTATTGACTATGTGGCGATGTTTACGTTCAGCTGTACCAACATGTTCAGGAGTGTAAAGAGGAGCTATTAAATGTTGAATACCCTTAGTTCGTAAAAATGAAGACAATGGTTTATACTCAGTCCCACCGTCAGTGTATAGGGTTTTGATTCGAAGGTTGAAATAAGTTTCAATGACATTGCTAAAGGTTTCAAAGACTGTATTTTCATCAGATTTGAACTTCAGAGGATATAACTATGTGTATTTTGTGAAGTAGTCAACAAAGATAACATAATATCGAAAGTTACCAAAAGAAACTATTGGGGCTGGTCCCCAAACATCAGAATAGACAACTTGAAAAGGAGAGGTGCAAATAATACTCGATTGATGAAAAGGCAACTTATGACATTTATTGCATAAACGAGAGTCACATACATTATCATCATCATGATTAAGTGAGGGAAGATGACTCTGACTTAAGATTTTTTGTTGAATGGGAAGAGAATGGTGACCAAGACGCCGATGCCAAATTTTTGATGAGATTGCAAGTGATGTAGAAGGACTTGGAGAAAATCTATGAGTGGATGTGGAGGTTGGCCATTTGTAGAGATTATTTTTACTCCGGCCTTGCACCAAGGATGCCCCCCGTGTTCAGATCCTTCACAAAAAAAGAAAATGGAAAGAATTCAATAGAGCAATAATTTTGTTGATAAAATTGAGAGACAGAAATTAGATTTCGTTTAATTTGAGGAGCACATAAGACATTATGAAGGAGAAATGAACTATGTTTAGAATCAAGATAACGAGAACCAATGTGAGTGATAGGAATACCAGTGCCCTTGCTAACTACAATATCTTCATTACCAATGTAGTTGGAGTACAAAGAAAGATTTTCCAAGTCAGAAGTAACGTGATGAGTGGCGCCAGAATCAACTGCCCAACTATCATTGTAGGGAGAATCACCATCAACCAGATTAGCTTGTGGAGGGGGTTGAAAGTGTGCTGGTTGTGCACGAGAACGACAGAATTTTGCACTGTGACCAGTCCTATCAAAAAGTTGACAAATAAGAGGAGGAAAATTGTGAGTAGAAGATGAAGATGACATAGAAGAGGGACGAGCTGCATAGTTTTGAGCTGGTTGATGGAAGAGATGGGGTAGTGGTGATGGAGGCGTGGAGTTGGGGCTGATGGTGGTGGTTCGGCGAAGGTGGAGAAAAAGGGTGGTTCGGCGGAGGGTTGCAGCAGTGGTCTTTGTTTCGGTCAAGTTCCGCCCACAAAAATAAAACTCTAATCCTTCTTTTATAGGTTTCCGTCAAACCCTATTTCTTCGGGAATAAGGAAACTATATTTCTTTCAAGTCAATTGGGATTAAAACTCCTCCGGATGATTTTAATTGGCCACCGAAATCAATTCGGAAACCTTCTTCGCCAAAAATCCAAATCGGCCAAATTCAAATCAAAAACCCAAATTTGCATCATTGGTCCTCCAATTTTTTAATTACTTCAATTTCTTCCTTGTCAATTTATCAAATCTTCAATTCTCCCCTTCGAGTTGCTTTAATCTCTAATTTAGCTAAAAAACTTCAACAATTCTTCAATTGAGTACAATTCTTACAAATAAAGATAAAATCATATAAATAGCATATTTGGACTCAAAATATATTGTAAAAATCACAAATTAAGGATATAATAAATAGGTAAAATATAAGCATATCAATAGTTTTGAGCTGGTTGATAAGGTGTTAGAGGCATGGTGCCAAAAAATGTAGAACGCATTTGAGAATAAGTTTGTCAAGGAAGCAGGCCTGTGTAGTTGTTAAATGGCAAAGGCAGACCACCGCGACCACCGCCACGATGACCACCACGACCCCCCCTTGTGCCTCAACCGCGTTGAACAAATTGAGCAATGATTGGAGTTTGTGATACAACATCCGGTTTGACAACACCTTGACTACAAATGGTTTCCTCATCAATCAATTTGTCGTACAATTCTTCAAAGGTCATCATGGAATCACGAACTCGAACCGCAGTGGCAAGTTCTTTGTAGTCACTGTCCAAGCCATTGAGAGCATAAGAGATAAGTTAGAGCATCTTGAAAAGGGTGCCCAATGAGTTCAAGATCATCAGCAAGTTGTTTGACACGATTCATGTACTCAGCCACCGTTTTATTCTCCTTCTTGTTCGACGTAAGGGAGGAGAGAATAGACATCATCCTGGTGTTAGATCGATTAGCAAAACTGGACTCTAAATTTGCCCAGGCTTCGGCTGAGGTTTTGCAATTGTTGATTTGAGGACCAAGAGTGCTATAAATGGTAGACTAGATGCCAAGAATGATGAGACGGTTTAGGCGAGTCCATGTGATGTGTGATGGATCGGTGGTTGGTGGGCAAGGATTGGATCCATCGACAAAACCCAATAATCCATAACCAAAAAGAAGGTTGGTCATTTGGGATTTCCATGATGCAAAGTATTCATTGTTTTTGGCAAGCTTAAAGGGTATTTGGGATGAAGCATTCAAAGAGATGAGATGGGGAATAGAGTTTGTGGACAAAGTCGGTGTAGGTTCAGGAATAACAGAAGAGGGGGAAGGGGTTTTTACACTATCAGCGGAGGACTCAAGAGCGGTGCGGCCGTCCATAGAAGAAGCTTGAGAAAAAAAAAAAAACAGAATTTGGGAAAGTGTTGTGAACTCTATTTGCAATAGAGAAGCTCGATACCATAAAAGATGATAAAATATGGTTTTGTATATCTCTTTCACAATGAGTACAAGGACTATATATGATATGCTTACATGCTCTTTACATGGAAGTATATCCTACAAATCTTTACAATTAATGTCATATCAATCAACATAAAAGAGAATCAGACCTTCATTGACAGAATATCATTCATATCTTCTATGATCATCTATTAGATAACAATTTTTATGATACTCGAAAATCTTTTCTCGAACACCTTTGACATTTGGGCAAAATTTTATTTGCTCATGGCATATTTTATTTGCTTTTCTAGAGACAAATTCACGAGTTTTCTTCTGGAGACGATAAAGAATTACTATTTAACTATGCCAAATCAACTCCTTTTATAGGAGTACTTACTCCAACGAAACTCTTCTACTCTGCAGTAGCATTGTTTAGTCATTTATTTTCGTTCTAGCAAAGTACTCTTACTCTTCTGAAGTATGTAAAGTATTAAAAATTGATGCTCTACATGAGATTTTATCCTATTTTATTTATGGAGAAATATAATTACATGTTCCTAATAGTTATGGAGTATCCTTTTTACTTCATGAAAACAAATAACAGTTGGGACACGTGTCAGCTTCACATAAGTTTTTTTCCCGCCTAAACAAAAAAAAAACATCTTTTGCAAAAGAATGATGCCACATGTCATGTGTACATCCGAAAAAAAAGGCTCCATAATTTTGCAAGATACAAAATGATTACCTTAAAACACTCCCCAATTTAAGGGTTTTCCAGAATATAATGGGATTTTAAAAAATCAGAAAAAGAAGGGATATAATCACTCCCTATTTTAAATGTTCACGTTAAACTCTCCCCAATTTAAGGGATTGACATTCAAATCCGAAAATGATTCCTCCAAATCTTAACTCCATCGATAACATTTCAATTTTTTCCTGTTTTAAAAACAGAAGAGATAAGTGAAGTTCAAATTCTTTTTTCAGATACGATTCTTCTCCTTTAACAGAGCAATCTCCTCTTCCAATTATGGTTTTTTTTTTTTTATGACTTCTGGATATTATTAAAAATTTAATATAATTAAAAAAAATCAAAAAGCTTTTTTTATGACTTCTGGATATTATCTCCTTCTCCAGTCTTCTTCGATCATCCGGCCTTGGAAAGCGAATTGTCAAATCCTTTTTATTTCATGAAAGAAAATGACATTTAGGACACGTGTCAGCTTCACATAAGTTTTTTTCCCGCCTAAACAAAAAAAAAAAAAATCTTTTGCAAAAGAATGATGCCACGTGTCATGTGTACATCCGAAAAAAAAAAGGCTCCACAATTCTACAAGATACAAAATGATTACCTTAAAACACTCCCCAATTTAAGCGTTTTCCAGAATAATATGGAATTTAAAAAAATCAGTAAAAGAAGGGATATAATCACTCCCTATTTTAAATGTTCACGTTAAACTCTCCCCAATTTAAGGGATTTACATTCAAATCCGAAAATGATTCCTCCAAATCTTAACTCCATCGATAACATTTCAATTTTTTCCTTTTTTAAAAAAAGAAGAGATAAGTGAAGTTCAAATTCTTTTTTGATACGATTCTTCTCCTTTAACAGAGCAATCTCCTCTTCCAATTATGGTTTTTTTTTATGACTTCTGGATATTATTAAAAATTTAATATAATTAAAAAAAATCAAAACGCTTTTTTTATGACTTCTGGATGTTATCTCCTTCTCCGGTCTTCTCCGATCATCCGGCCTTGGAAAGCGAATTGGCAAAAGTGAAGATGGAACTGAAAACCAAACGTTCAATGGTCTCTCTATGGCTTCTGGCGTTTATGTTTAGAGAACCGTAGGTTCCTTCTTCTTCAATTTTTTTTTTAATTTTTGTTTCTGTTGTTTTCTTGTCCCCCTAAATTTTATGTTTCTGAAAACCCCTTCTGCTTCACAGGCTCACCAACGGCATCAATCGTGTGGATCTGATGTGCCGCAATGGATTCGAGAAGATCTACCCCATTTTCTCACCCCGCCGCCAATTGGATTTTGGAACACCTCTTCTGCCTCGCCATCACCTATGTAGTCACTGAACACATCCATGGCCGCCTTCTCCGTTACACCGACAACGCCAACCCACCAGATGGAGAAAACACATACCCGGGAATTCCGAGCTCGGCGGCGAGGCCATTTGTCCAACCCAGAAAGAAGTCGAAAACAACAGTAGTCGGCGGAGAAGGATGCGAATGGAACCACCGCTTAACCGGGTCGGAAATCCGGGTTAAGGCAAACATCATAGCCCGGACCGCATCGTGGGAAGGTCCTTGGTATTTTCAACTCCGCCGGGGATTAAAGGGTGCGCCAAAACAGGCAAAACAAGGGTCTGAATAGATGGGTTTCCGCGAGAATTGGGGATAAGAGATGAAGGGTTTTTGGGGTGATTATGTCAAGGCCACGATTGGAGAGTTGATGGGTGAAATATTCAGAAGAGGCACCATGTGTCCCTGTGAAGAGTATGGAAAGATCAAGATGTGAGCTTTTTGCTGGTTCATCTTTTCTCTTAAAACACAAAATTTTTGATTTGTGGGGTTTATTATTTCGAATTAAATGAAGGGAAGCTATGATTTATGCAAGCCTGGGAAATAAGGTGGAAGAAGAAGGAACAAACAAAAATACCTTTGGGTTGGTGTAAATGCGTGCATCAGACATTATGATTTAGATGGAAGAAGAAGGAACAAACAAGCTTTTTGGTCTGTCCAGCGTGAATGTAGTAAGCTCTCCCCTTTGTTTCCTACTCCAATTCCCATACATCTGTCTGATGATTTCGATGTTTATTTTGTAATTTTTATTTTCAGTTTTGATCTAGATACTTAGATATATGATTATTGGAGTATATTTATTTTAGTTAGATCTGGGAATATAGTTCTCTTTGTCTGGGTTTGTTGGGATATTTAGAATTATAAGATTATTGACGGGATTCCTTAATTTGATGATGATACTGTTGAACAAGAGGATCTTGATGTCTTGAAAATTATCCTTTTGGATATCATTGACATTATATAAATTACTAGAAGCGGTGGATCTCTGCGTTAAACATAATCACTGGTAATTTTTTCTCTTACAAAAATTTATCGGTAAAATATGTAATTCCAAAGTGTGATTATTATTTTGAGATTTTTTTTTTCAGATTTCAAGAATAATAGTGAAGTTATACTCTTGGAGAATATCTTCATAAATTATTTTGAAGTAAAGATTCAAGATTCAAGATGTTTATTTTAATCTTTTAATGTAAAATATGTAATTCCAATGTAATTTATTTTACTCACATTAAATTTATTCTAATGAAATTATCAAATTTAAAACACGAGAGGCTGTTTGGGCAATTTCATTTTTTATTAAATATAATTATAGGTCAAATTGGACAATTATATTATTTTTCAACAAGATATTTATGAGTTGTATAAAAGTCTACTATAGTTTATCTTGATCACATAGAATTTATTTCAATATTATTTTTATTAATATTACTATATTTATAGATAATTAAGGAATTTAACGGGCCCCCAGGCATCTACCCGGGCCAAGCATCTAGTTATTTAATTATTGTATTTTGCCATAGCAAATTCTGCTCTTCTTGAGCTTTTGCCCAAATTTGTCGAGAAATTCATATAGATGCTCTACTGGAGCATTAAATCAATTGTGTTCTAACATAAGAATGAAAACATTGACTAAACTCATAAATCACAAGGAATAATAAAGTATACAACAAAGTATATAATAAAGACATTACTAATCTAAAAATAAAATATTACTAGATGTTTTCATTATGAACATATAACTAACATAACTTCAGGGTGATCATCCATAAATAGTTCTGGTTCTTGATTTGTTCACCTTCAGGATGAATATATAACTAATATCCATAATAATATCATTGACATTTTAGTTAACTTAAATAGTTTTTTGATGATTGACAGAGAGTAACAATATGTTTTTGCTACAAAGTAGGTACATGATCAATAATTTTTTTTTTTTATGTCACAAAAATAGCACTTGCTATCTTTTATCTTTTTGCTCTCTTCAGCTTTCACACTTCTGGTAGTTTATTTTGTTTTCCTTAAAATTTCTCACTTCTGGTGATTAGAAATATGTTTGGTATCATTACCAATTCTCAATTATATTTAGAAATTCAATTTGCTCATTATTAAATTTCTGATATTTGCATTCACTTCAGGAAATGTAGTAGTCCAACTTGGGTGAGTCTAATAATTTTTTCAACAATTAAAAACTCAATTGCTTATTTAATAGTAACAAGAAAACTAATTGCTAGATCAGGAGCAATTCTTTAATTTTCTTTGTCACTAATCTTCTACTTCGGGTGAAAAATCATATTTTATATGTGATCATCATATTGTTACATAAGATTTACTATTTGCAATTTGACTCGTAAAAGTAATTCTGCACTTGCTTCAAGAAGTAAGAAATTCTCAAATCAAGGGGTCTCATGGTTTCCTTTAACAAAATCATATTAGTAAATTTAACAAAAAATAATAAACTGGTACTCCAGGAGTACTTCGATGTTATATTTATGAATCTAAAAATTTTGTGAATTTAAATCATCCAACCGTTGAAAATGTTTGAAAAATAGTCATTTTCTATCATCACTAATTTTCAACTTATGGTAGTTCGTGATGTTCCTATAATTTATCTTGACTGACATGCTCAATCATTATCGTCTGCTTTATTCATATTTATCACTTCAGGTGGTCAATTTATATGACTATGATATTTGAATATATTCAAATTCACTTGCTTTAGGAAGTAGAAAAAATCTTTTTGAATATTTCATGAAATTGCTATTAATGGAGAAAATTCAATACATGAAAAATTTATAATAGAAATGGTTTACTATAGGAGCACTTGGTTGTATTCAATATTACAAAACAAGAAAAAACTCACTGCATTCCCTGGTATACAGATCAAAATCAACTTACCACACACCCTGATCTATGGATTAAAATCTTACAGTTGGATAGAGATTAGATCTTCTCAGTTAGATAGAGATTCGTGCTGATAACGTATTATAAAATAAACCAAAACAATAAGAGATATGGAACAATAGAGAAAGAACAAGTAGGAAGAGAACAAGAGAGAGAAGAGATAATTCATCTGTACATTATTCTATGGAAAAAGATCTCCATTTATAGACAAAAGATACAAGGATAAGAACTAATAATGATAAATCTAACTATGGTAAGATCTAACTAAATATTATCTCTACGTATTTTATTCCTCGTATAACTCTTCTGAGTTGTGAACATCCATACCATTAAATTTTTATAACACCCCGTTGAATTCTCTACCCTTTATTCCTAGAATACACATGCCGGTGGTGCACCGGAGACACAGGCAAGGCCACTGCGGATAATCGATTATGGATGTTTCACTATTTCAAATTTTTCAAACTCCGCAAAATCAAAACCTTTATGGAGAAAGTGCTTCTATTTGAATGGACATTGCAGTATTGATTTGTTGTGGAAGCGCATCAGGTAATTGAACATGGAGTCCTCCCACTCTTCTTCTCCTTAGAGCATGGGAATATTGTGGTTGACCCCGGAACTTTTGCATGATATAAGTGGCTGCTTTTCTCACCATCTCCAATATTGGTTCAACATAAGATGAGGGTACTATTCGATACAAGGAAAACAAATGCGAGACTGAAAATAAGAGCAAGGAAAGAGATTCAGGAAAAAGGAGTGATGTAATAGATGCCAAAGACAAGGGTCCGCAGAATCTTAGAATGATCCCACTAAAGTACTTGAAGTACGCAACCTTACGATTTTGGTTTGTCGGAGAAGAAAGTTGGGTTCTCGTTAAGTGTACATGATATGACAGGCAACAATACAGGATCAAACTGGCAACTGTGACAAACACGGTTTTCGGGCGGGTTTCAAAAGGGGAAGCGACTTCAGATTGATACTTAATCTGCACCAAGTTAATCAAGATTGTGACTATGAATGCGTAAGTGGCCTCATGAGGAGATGTCATTTTGATATGGTGATCATCTGGTTCATGAGAAAATATTGGGGAATAGAAAACATTAACACAGAGGTTGTTCTGGTTATAAAAGAAGTAATTATTATGGGTATGATTTGGGACTTGTTGGTGGAAATATGGGTAGTATTCCTAATGGCTAAGAAAAACAGAAGAAGAAGAAATCCGAGGCTCGTGAAAACACGATCTCCTTAAACCAGGTTTGCCCCCTCCTATAGTGCTTGATGATCTCGAGCAACTGTTACCCAGGATACAACGGAAACGTAGAAACTACTTAGCACAAAGAAGTTCTACCAGCGAACGAAACTTAGAACACGATGATGAACACCAAAACCTGAAAGAGAAGGAAAGAAAGGCTTGAAAGAATACTGATAGAGGAGGAAGGATTGGTGTGTTGAACTTTGGAAAATGAGTGCCTATTTATAGACTGGAGAAACCTTTAAAATGGCAGCAAAACTTCAAATGGTTTTGGTGTTTTAATTCTGTTAAATGTCACGAATTCATGGCACATAAACAGCCAAAAAGTTTTTGACAATCAAACAGTCAAAAGAATTCATTCTGCCATTTAAACAGTATTAAATCCGCCATTCATTTGCTCATTCAACAACAATGTTTCAGTTTTTTCATTGACTGAAATGAATGAACATAAATCTCCACATTAAAATTTTAGCTGGAAAAAAATTAATCTGAACCGTAGCAAAATGTGGGTTGATCAGGCCCGCTAGAGCTCGGTCCGGCATTCGTGTCCGCAGGTCGTGCGCACACAGGAGTCAGGCTATTTTGGCTCCGAATCGGACCTCTATTTGCACTCCCCCTGCGCGGGCGCACGCGAGTGGGAGAGATATGGTATAGTATTGGCAAGTCAACTTGCAAGTCAATTTTGGGCTCTCACTTATAAAGTGAGCTCCAACTCTTCCCAACACCCATGTGGGACAAAGTCCCTTAGCATTAACTCTAATTTTTCCAACTCTTGAGAAACTTAATTCTCATTCACTCTACTCTAATCCAACAATCCCCCACATGAATGAGATATTGTTTCGATTAAACAATGATGGTGTTCACCAACTGATCCCTGCATAGAGAAAGTAGGTTTTAACCTTTGAACTTTCTCCTTGTAAAGTATGTTTGCCTTACTAGCTGTCCAGTAGACATGATGTCCTTGAACTGTCCGGCTGTATTGTGTAAAGAAACCCACATACCGTACACAGGAACCATTTCTATTTAGTTCCGTTCTCATGGTTTTGTCCATTTTGGCCATGAACACGTCCTGGTTTTGCAAGAGTTTCTAAAGAACTGAGCCTTAACAGTTCTCCTTTGAAGCGGCCCCACTTCTCTCTCACATAGGTGACTTCTTAAGTCTAGAGTAAATAACATTACTCACTTAAGTATCATTAAAGCAACCGTTTGCTATCCTTTCCGTCATATCACTGTTTGATGAAAAGAATGAATTGAGGTTTACCTCCACAGTGACCACACTAAGTCTTATGATTAGGTTGTCCCATTGAACCTAGATCTTGGGATCTCCAGTCAACTAGGTTGGGTTTTCCTTCTTAAAACTTTTATCTCTTCACAGGCTTTACTCCCATTCCTTTGGTCAATCTTTCAACTGCCTCTCTATTCAACCCTTTGGTTAGCGGATCCGCAAGATTATCCTTTGACTTCATGTAGTCAATCGTGATAATTCCTATTGAGAGGAGTTGTCTAATGGTATTGTGTCGACGACGAATATGTCTCGACTTACCATTATACATAGTGCTCTGTGCCCTTCCAATCGCCGATTGACTATCACAATGAATACTGATAGGTGGCACAGGTTTTTCCCACTTTGGAATATCCTCCAAAAATTGGCGTACCCATTCAGCCTCCTCACCACACTTATCCAAGGCAATGAACTCGGATTCCATTGTGGATCTAGCTATTACAGTTTGTTTTGAGGATTTCCATGACACAGTTGCTCC